AAAGCTCCAAGTCCCAGGAATCTCCTCAGTCCCAGGCAAACCAGGGAGCTTGGTGACTGTGGTTTCAGAATGGTGACGTCTAGAGGGTGTGGGGAAAGCTGTGGTGGAGGGTCCCTTCAGGGCCGGCTGTGGCCCCACAGCTGCAGAACAGAATGGCCTCTGAGAGGGCTGGGTATCACTTGCCCATCTTCTAACTTGATGAGGTTGAATGGAACACTGTCCCAAACCAGAGTCCTTTGAACAGCTGGGCTGGACTGGCCTGCCCTAGGCACCAGCATGAATTTGTGCATTTGGAAAAGACATCTCCATAATTGCACTGCTGCTCTGCACTCTGAGAGGACGGGGTGAATGAGGAATCATCCCAGGCTGCTGGCCAATCGGGAGATTTGGCCAGTGTCTGCAGTGAGCTCAGTGTTAGAGCTGTTTTGCCAATGGGAAGAGAGGAGACCCGTTTGGATCCGGGTGATTTGGAACAGAAGTGCTTCACTCTGAATGGTGAAGGCAGTGAGCCCTGATTTTCGTGGTGGGCACCCCAAGTGTAACAGTGTCCTTTACAGCCTTTGTGGACAGCCCTGTAAGGTGGTGAAGGCTACCATTTCTGGAAACAGGCCTGGGTTTGAATTTGGGCCTTGTTCTGCTGTTTGCTGGCTGTGTGATATTGGGCAAGTTACTTAACCTCATTGGGCTTCAGTTGCCTCAAGTGTAAAATGGGAATAAATGGTATTATCATTCAGTTTTTCTAACTTACAGAGGTTTTATGAGAATTAAATGAAGCAGTCTGAGAAATGAGGCTTAGCATTCATTATGTCACGCACATGGTAAATTTTCAATTAATGATAGTTCTCATGATTGTGATTATTAACTATTTGCTGTATTTTTTAAGACCTGAGTTCCAGCCCTGGCTCTTCTGCTAGCTACCCTGGGGCCTTAGGCAAATGCTTGTGCTCTGAGTTTTGTAAATGGAAGTTGCTGGACCCTAATCCCTGAGAATTCCAAGTGTCCTTGGTTTTATGAAATGCGTCAAAGACACGTTCCCACCTAAGGACCTTGCAGCATTTCTGTTTATGTCATCAGACCCAAATGAACAACCTAGCAGCTCCTTTCTGCCCCAACATCACTGGCAGGATCCCAGGGAGCTACTTAGGGCAAAGCATGGGCTCTGCTCCAGCTGCAGCGGACTTTCTGTCACCTGCTCTCAGTTAACCGTGAGTGGGGTGTCCTCTTAAAAACAATGTGCTCTTCATCATAATGAAACAAACACAAGGGGCTTGGTTCTAATTTTTACTTCATCTGTGTATCTTGAAATATACAGAACTGTTCCTAGATCCAATAAATTATACTGTAAATTGAGCTAATTAGATTCTTACAAAACTGTCTTGCATTTCATTAGTTTGAGTTTAGAAAAGAGAAAGCAGGTGTTGTAGCTAAATAACACTCACGGGTGATAGCAGACAGCAGAAGGCCACTGTTCAGTGTCCTCAGGGATTCCCTTCCTAGGCTTTTGATCTTGAGGCCTTTCATTTTCAAAGATAAAAATAACAGCAGCCTGATGCTATTGGCAGTTATACAGCAGGTAACAATCTGCCCCAGGCTTGTAAAGGAAGCCTTAAATCCTTGGATCCTCCATGAAACTTTTTTGAGTACCTACTATGTGCCAAGCACAAAAGAAAAACATGAATAGGCTGGAGAGTAGCTATAACCCCATGCCCAATGCCCAGTGTATCATAGGTACTTGATGAAATTTGTTGAATGAATAAATGAATGAGTACAATAACTATTAGTTAAGAGTTTGGCCATCACATCCCAGCATTTTAATGAATCCCGTAACACTGGACTACATTTTAGATCACCTGCTGTAGAAGTGGCCAGCCAACCAGGTCTTGGGTCAGGGGGTAACTATGGAGACGTTCGGTAGACGTGGCATATGACCATTGGTCCTGGGTGATTGCTGAGAGCAGGTACCAGGGCAGGTTACCTAACCCTGCTGTGCCTCAGTATTCCTATCCATAACATGGAGGCAGTATTGGTACCCACCCCATAGGACTGCTGTGCAGATTAGATGTATGAATTGCATGGCGCACTGTGAGTGCCCCCTAAACATTAGCCGCTACGGTCTGTGTGTGTTGGTCATCCAGCCCTCTCTGATGTTATTTTTCCTAAGACACACACAGGATAAATATAGTCCTATTTATGTGTGTAAGTGCCAGCCCTTTGTCTCCCAGGCACTCCGTTAGTCCTCATTGTTATTTGGATATGAAAAGCCCAGTGGACAGGTTTGAATCTCCACTTGGCTACCCTCCACCCCCATGGCCTTGACCTTGGTCAAGTTCCTGAAGTTAAGGGAGGCTCAGAGGGGTTATCTGTAAACGCAGGTACTTCCTTCACTGTGCGAAGGATTACACTCAGCCTAGTGCCTGGCGCACAAGGAGCCCTCCTAAAATGGTGAGATTGTTGTCATTCCCATAAAAAGCACACAAGGCCCCTGTGGCTTTTGTGCCCTGGGGTGCCAGAGCTGGTTCGTGTGGCGCCTAGCGCAGTCACACACCCAGCTGGAGGAGGCTCCCAGGGCAGACAGCCTGAGAGAGGGCCCGTGTTGCAGGCCTCACACGGTCAAGGCATTTTAAAGGCCTTGTATTAGAAAAATAAACCAATTAAATAATACTGCCCCCCATAAAAGCTGACTTTTAATGAATTCCATGGTAGGGTTTTCACCGTGGCGGTCCCTCAGCCATAGGTCTTGGTGAGCCTGCCGGCTGCCACGAGGAGGGTTTAATCTTGCACAGTATGGGCATAATTGTTCCAGTTTTATGACTGTTTTTCTCCTCCGAAGTGTTGCTATGTCATTGTGCACCGAGGGAAACTTGCATGCATTTAACAGTTTACCTCGTTTTTGGTGGAAATGAAAAATGAAGGAGTAAATTGAAGAAAAACAGCATGGATTTTTTCCCCTCTTCTCAAGGTAACTGTGGAGGAACAAAGAGCCAGTGTTTACCCGCACAGCCATGATCAAATTCTCATGGCTTTTATGTATGGACATTTGCCTGCAGACCGCCTCCCTGGAGAGTGCTGCAGGGCCCTTAGGGTGGGTTAGGGGCCTGTTCTGCTGACCCCATGAATACTTAGGGCTGTTCTCTTGGGCAAAGGTCAGCAAACTACAGCCTGTGGGCCAAATCTGGCCCACCGCCGGTTTCTATGAAATGGTTGAAAAATAAAATAAAAAGAAGAATAATGTTTCCTGACACATGACAGTGATGTGGGATTCGGACCTCAGTGTCCATAAACGAAGTTGTTTGGGCACAAAGCCATGCCCATCAGTTCTGTATTGCCTGTGGCTGCTTCCACACTGTGACAGCAGAGTTGTGTTGTGCAGACATACGGGACAAGGCTGAGACACTACAAGGTCCTTTACTGAAAAAGTTTACTGATCTTGCTTCGGAAGTAAAGGAGAAGGACAGAGAAGAGGTGCTTTCAGTTCCCCTAGAACTGGTGATTTACTCTCAGGGTTTCCCTGTGCCTTAATGTGACAAGTCAAGAGAGAATGGCATGAGAAGGAGTGATTCACCCAGAGACATTTGAGAATCATCGGCTACTTGTGGAAATGGTTTTCCCCGCTTTTCTGACCTCAGATTGGCTTCTGAGGTTTATCCCTCAGAAGGGGCCTGGGCTTATCCCCCAGTGCCGGCCAGGCTTCTGTGGCTTTCCCATCAGAGAAGCCCAAAGCCCTCCTGAGTTCTGGTCACTTCCCTTCATCTCAGTAGATGGCTGAGTAATAGAGAAGTTCCCACCCTCTCTCCCAGGGTCAAACAAATTTTTGTCATAAGTTGTTATGGGCAAATCTATAGCTTCAGAAATTTGTAACAAACATTTCTTTGCTGGCACATTTGCATATACTAGTAACTCATTTAATCCTCACATAACCCAGGGAGTTAGGTTTTGTGCTCATCCCCAATTTACAGTTGAAGAAGCAGAGGCTCAGAAAGGTCAAGTACCTTGCCTCAGGGCCCAGAGCTGGTTATGGTAGAGCCAGGATTCAAATCTAGGTAATGTCATGTCCACTCTGCTGCCACTGTGTAGGTGGGGGGATGCTTTCCTAGGTCCACCCATGCCCCTACTGTGTCATTCCACAAGAAAATAGCCCTCTGTACAAGAAGAAAGCCCTTGTTCATTCATTCATTCATTCATTCATTCATTCATTCATTCATTCATTCATTCATTCATTCCTCCTTGCACACCTCCCTCCCTTCAATGAATAATTGCCAACTGACCATGTTTTAGACACTGTGAGGGGCTGCCTGGGGGGAGGATTTTTGTGAATAAGAAGAGTGAAGAAAACAATACCTTTCCATTTAAAAATAGTTGTTGGTATCCTCAGCGCTGTGAGGTTTGGGGTTTACTTACACCCCCTTTTATTAATTGTTAAGAGCCACTTCTGTCTGTGGAGAACCATAAACCCTTGTCCTTTCTGCCTGAACCTGATGTTTTCATTAAAAATAGTCTAGTTTGTAGAGGCTTTGGGGAGACTGAGCCTCAGACTTACCCAGTGGGAGGAGCCCTCCCAGGAAGGCCCCATGCCCGTCCTCAGAGACCAGGTGCTCAGGGACCAGGCATTAGGGGTCGTAATTGACTGTTGGAGGAGAAGGCTGTGAACTTTGAAATAAGTCACCAAGCCTTGTGTTGCTAGAACTTATTCTCTTGGAACCATCTTTACACTGTCTTTTCTAAGTAGCTTCATTTCAGTGAAGTTTAGATGCCTGTCTTGTGTTACAAACTTGCTGGGAAGAATACCTAGTGTGTTTATGTCCTGCTGGGTGTGGAGAGGCCTGAATGCTGGGGACGTCAGAATGGCCCGATGCTCCAGGATAAAGGAGTGGCTTTGCTCGAAACTGTATGTCTCCCTTTCTTCCCTACCTGTTTCCTTGTCCCTCCTCTGTGCCTTTCTCTTTGTCAGCCAGCCACCGTTTGTCGTTCACTTCTGACGAGCCTTCACTTTCTTCCCCCAGTCATGCGGAGGAACCCCTTCGGTGTGGACATCTGCTGCCGGAAGGGGTCTCGAAGCCCCCTGCAGGAGCTCTACAACCCCACCCAGGTAAGCCCTAGGAACTTCCCTGCTTTTTCAGCGTTGTGTCCATGAGTCCATTTTTGAAAGAGGGGTGTGAACAGGTTGTAGGGGTGGGGTGTTTGCTGTAAAGTCCAAAATTTTGCTGTGTGGGGATTTGAAGCTTCCTTTCACTGCCTGGTATTTTACCTTCCGTGATTGCTTTCTCAGTCACCCTTTCTGTACACGATGGCTCTGAAATTCCAGTGAGAGGTATTTAGAGTTAGAGAAATGCCTTGGTGTAGTGCTGGACTAAGCTTTTAGACGGACCCAGGTTTTGGAGTCCTGAGAGCCACACCGTCGCAGGTGCCAGCGATGGGACTCTGAATTCGCACAGCCAGCTGGGCTGTGTGGTCCCCCCTCTGGCACCCCCAAAGAAGGCTCACATGTGGGTGAGCTTGCCTGCCCCCCAGCTCCCACATCCAGTTATTAAAACCCAACGAAGCACCAGGAGTTCCACCTCACTGGGCCGCTTTGGGAAAACTCTCTTGTGTGTGGTGGGGGACTTTTGGCTAAGTGACTGTCATGGTAAATCAGACCTGAGTATTCAAAGAATTCCTCTTTGAGCAAAATAAGCTCCAGCTGAGGAAAAGTGTCATCCGTGGAAAGCTAGGAGCTAAGAAAGAAGGGCTGGTTGTCCGGCGATGGGCTCAGCATTGTGTGTGAGTCTTGCTGTGGAGACTCAGAGGCTGCGGGAACATTAATTAGCACGTGATGCCAAGAACTGGTGCGTGCACCACCGGTGGCCTGCCAGCTGACCTTTGCTATTGACAAAGGACAAGGAAAATGTACTGCGCTGGCTGTAGTGTCTGAACTTTCTTTTGTATGAAATTCTTACTTTAGTCTTTCTGTGGACCAAGGTGCTTGCGAGAGGAGGATAATGCTTGGTCCTCAAAGGTGCTGAATTGTCAGAAGTCTTGCACAGAGATGAGCCTGAGAACTTTCTGATCTCACACCTCTTATCCCATCTCCCACCTGCACTCCCTTCTGGAAAACTGGGCTCCTGAGTTTGTGCATCCTAGGTGGCCTAACCAGATTAGTCCACTCCCCTGTCAGCCCCACCACTTTGGACCTCCAGTGTGGCAGAGTCAGCCAGGTAATTACAAAGTCCGATTGCCTGAGGCTTCCTTTCCTGGGCTTTCTGGCCACCCAGTAGGGAATTTGATCTTCAGGTTTTGTTTGGGACCCAAATAATCCAATTATTATAGGCAAGTCTCCTACCTGTTAACACACCTGTCCTTAGGAAGAGGCAGAACTAGCTTGGACCAACATCATTTTTCTGGTGAGCCTTGTTTAAAGCAACACATGCTACTGACAGGCAAATTGTTCCTGTCTTTTCGCTGACATCCCCTGTTCTCAAATCACTTTCCCTTTCAAAACAAAACTGCCGAGGCACTACTGCTTTCCTGAAGAAATGTTACAGGTGACATGTGGTATCGTGGGAAGAGCTGGTGCTCCTTACGGGCAGGAAGTCCATGGACTGGGTGCTGTTCGCTATTGTATCCCTGACCCCAGCACAGGGTCTAGCTTGGAGTGGGTGCCCCCAAATATCTGTGATTGAAAGAACAAAAGTTCAGGTCCAAATTTTACTTCACCTTCAGCTGGTTGTGCAACCCTGACTAGGGGTCAGTTTTCCCATCTGTAGGGGTCAGTTTTCCCATCTCTCCAGAATGTTGGGAGGATAAAACCTCTGATGTATCAGGGGCCAAGGAAACACTCTTCATCAGTATCACGGTCATGAGGATGGCTTCAGTATTGCAGGATTTGGCTTTAGAGGCAGACCTGGGTTCAGAGCCTGGTTTCCTCATTTCCTACCTATGTGTGTGTGGACAAGTACTTAACCCAAGACTGTTTTCCCTTGTCCATAACGTGGGGCTCATGGTATGTGCCCCATGGGACTGTGTGAGAAGTACCTTGCTCTATGCCTTCTATGGAGTTTTTTTTATTCCTGGATTCATTCACTCACTCATTCATTCTTTTCTTCCTCTGCTATTATGAGTGCCCTCTATGTGCAGTACAGTGCATGTGCTAGGCTCAAAAGGGTAAGCAGGGCATATATGGTCAGCCTTCTATGTCTGGTTCTTATTATCCCAGGGTCGACATAAGTGAGTTGAATGGCAAGGGACACCCTACTCGGTTCACTGTATGCCAAGCTAAGGAGAGAGAACCTTCCTGGGTAGAGCTCATCCCTTCCTACTGGTGATGTTACGAGTGTTGTCGGGTAAGGGGCTCACTTAGCAGCAACTGTGGAGCTGGGAAGGAAGATGAAGCCGGCTAGGCAGCTCTGAGAGCCACTTGTAAGGGCGTAGGTGGGTGAGTCACCACCCTCCATCAAGAATGTCGTGGGCAAGCCGTCTGGCCCCTTTTGCTGGCAACTAGGAAAATGTCCCTGCAGGAAGATCTCCCCGTTTCCTCGGGATGTTGTCTGGGATATTTTTTCTTAAGCTGGCTTCCTTTACAAGCTGCAATTATGTTCCATTCCCACGCAGGCTCAATTAGCAGTGCCTCTTGGAGAAGCTGTCCTGGTGATCATTTGGGCTACCGTGCGCCAGGGCATTAAGAAGAGAGAGGGGAGCAAGTTCTCCTGTTGAGTTTAGTTAGGTTTTGTGTCCACAAGACATTTACAGATTTTGTACCCAACTGGGCTTAGTTGGGGTTTCCTGTGTTCCTCTACCGGTCAAAATGTTGAAGTCACTCTGGCTGGGCTGATGTTATCACAGGGGTAGGTGACAAACCCTGTCACTGCCGCAGACCATACTGAGCCCGGAGATGCCATTTCCCCTTTTTATGCTGACTGGTTACTCGGATTTGACATGTGATGGTGAAAACAGGAACTGATTATTTTAGATGATAAGAAACCATCTTATGGCACAAGGCACCATCTTAGTCACCATATACTGGTACTGTAGACCACATGCTATCTAGATGCTCCTAAATATCTCTTGGGATGCTTATCATAAGCTCCAAGCCCGGTGTTACACCTCCATTTTATGTATGGGAGAACTGAGGCAGAGAACAGCATGCAGCCTGTAAGAAACAGTAAAGATTCAAGCCCAGGACAAACTGCACATCCATGTATCTCTACGCTGTATTCACTGTCACTAGCGAAGTTCTCTTGGCAGGAATTGCCCCCTCTCCCTTCAAAAAAAGAAGCCCCCCAAAACTCACACCTGGATTTTTGCTGGACAAAGGGCTTAACAGCTCCCTGGGGAAAATTGGCTATAATCTGATTTTAGTGTCCAAGATTTTCTTATTTTAGTGCCTCCCTAATCCCCTAACCATTAAAACAACAAAAAGAGTTTGTAGTTGATATTCTTAGAAAAACTGCACTCTGATGTCTTCTAATTTTCCTGGTTCTCTGCTGTCTCCCTGGCCCCAAAATAAAACGTAATTGCTGATCAGATCAGCTGGCATCAAGTCCCCAAACATTCAGGAGTTGCCAACTGCATATTTGTGGGCCGAACACATCTGTGGGCCGCCCTGGCTCAGCTCAGCCTGGCAGGGCAGAGCTACATTGTCAGCCGTTAATAGGGCATAATTGCCTCTAAATGCCAGCGAGGGTGAGACAGCCTGTCCTTCGGCCTCGCCCACCTCCTGGTCCTCTCGTGCATTCCCTGAAATTTTCACGGCATCACTCATGTGGTTCGGCCCTGCCCTGCCTGGTTCTTTCTTTAGCATTTATACTTACTCTGTGATTACCACGTCTGAGAAGACAGATGCACAGCGCAGAGGCTGACCAGGAATCTGTAAATGCTGAGGCTCGGAGGCTTGCACGGAAAGTGCGAGATCTAGTTGTCTGAGGGCATTCCTGGGGTCTGTGAGGACCAATCTCAATGTTGGAGGGATCTAGTGGTATTCTGAGTGAACTATTTGAGAAAAAAAAAATAACAGGATCAAGAAGGAGGTTAAAAAGGCTCTGTGGAGGCCAAAGGGGGGGAAGATCTCAGCATCTGTTATTTCATGGCCCACTATTGGTCCAGTCTTCAATGTGCCATAGTAAGTTTACTTCCCCATAAGGTAGGCTGTAGAAGGAAGGGTGGAGAGAGGGAGAGAAGGAAGGGAGGGAGAAAACAGCAGAGAACCAGCAGTTTTTCTAAGAATATCAACTACAAACTCTTTTTGTTGTTTTAATGGTTAGGGGATTAGGGAGGCACTAAAATAAGAAAATCTTGGACACTAAAATCAGATTATAGCCATTTGTTGAAGATATAACGCATGTTAGTGACTCTTCGAGGTGTTTTTCATACATATCTCATTGAATCTTCACAGCAACCATGAAAAGAAGGTATTCCACAACCCCATTTTTCAGGTAAGTTAAATGAGGCTCAGAGGATGGAGCGATTTGCCAAGATCTCATAGCTCCTAAATGGTAGAGCCAGGCCCACCAGGCCCAGCGAGACTGTAGAAGATGAGAATCTATCACTCTGTCTTGCCCAGGTGGAAAATGCTTCCTTGAAGCTCTCTTACCTGGCGACTCAAGTTGAGGCCTGGGATGTGCACAGGACAGTTGTAAAATTCTCTAAGTCGGGGCCGAGGCAAATGGAGTGATGTGGAATGCGCAGCTGCTGTCCAGCAAACAAATGCAGGCCTGGTTTCTGTTTGCTGAACCTGTTGTTTGGACAGGCTTTTGTCTCTTGGCTGGAGGCAGGCTGAGCAGGAGAGTCACCCCCAAGAGCTCTGCCAGGGGACAGCGCACCTTGGCGACGTTGGGAAGTCGGGGTCTTTGATTCAGTTTTAGATTGGTATTCTCTGAGGGAGGATGGGAACTCGCCTAGTCCTAACCTAAGTAGCTTTCTCAGCCACGCTTGGCAAAATTTGTTTCTTCTACAGACATTTATAGAATGAACAGAGGAAAAATACATGGGGATGGGAGGTAGGTAATAAGACATGCTTTTGAATAGGTTATGGGAGAATGAAGAATAATTAACACTTTGAGGTTCAGGGCACAGTGGGAGGCTTAGAGAGGAGGTGCACTGGAGCCAGGCCTGTGT